TTAAGACTCTATTTTCTTCAACAATTTAATTATTCTTCTAAAAATTTACACAAACCCAAAGGAATTAATGTGATGCTTTACTTTTTTTATGCAAAACAATGTTGAAATTTATGCTCCATAACTATAAAGAAAATATTCTTTTTTGGTTGAAAAGGAAAGTATTCTTTCTACAATATGAAAATAAAGTAATCATTTTATTGAAATAAAAGAAAATACTTTGTTCTACATCATGAAAAGAAAATACTCATTTTGTTGAAATGAAAAAAAAATACTTTTTCTATGTCATGAAAAGAAAATACTCATTTTGTTGAAAAGAAAAAAAGTACTTTTTCTATGATGATATAGTTCTGATTGATGAGACGCGAGGCGGCGTTAATGAGAGACTGGAGGTATGGAGGCAGGCCCTGGAGTCTAAAGGTTTCAAGTTGAGTAGGACTAAAACGGAATATGTGTAATGTAAGTTTAGCGACGTGACGGGGGAAGCGGATGTGGAAGTCAGGCTTGACTCACAGGTCATCCTCGAGAGAGAAAGTTTTAAATACTTAGGGTTAATTATCCAGGGAGATGGGGAGATCGACGAGGATGTTACGCACCGTATTGAGGTGGGGTGGATGAAATGGAGGTTAGCGTCTGGAGTCTTGTGTGACAAGAATGTGCCACCGAAACTCAAAGGTAAGTTCTATAGAGCGGTGGTTAGACCGGCAATGTTGTATGGAGCTGAGTGTTGGCCAGTCAAGAATTCACATATCTCTAGAAGATGAAAGTAGCAGAAATGAGGATGTTGAGATGGATGTGTGGGCACACTAGGCTGGATAAGATTCGGAACGAAGATATTCGGGAGAAGGTAGGTGTAAGGCCCCGTGAAAATTTCTACTCAAAACCCGAAAGCTTGTAGTGCCAAATTAGGAATATGTGTTAGAAATTTATAAAGCTCGCCGCGGTTCGGACCCTTTGGACTGATCTATGCATTAAAAAGTTAAGGAAAAATATTTTCCAGAAAAGTGCGTTTATGTGGTCCATTATGCGGTCGCATAATAGCTATGCGGACCGCATAGTTGCCGCAGAATCAGATAGTTTGATGGTAATTTTGAGGTCAACTATGCGGCCCATTATGCGATCGTATAATCAATATGCGGGCCGCATAGTCATCGCATAATCCCCTTAGAATTTTACGAGGGGCAGTTCTGCGGTGCATTATGCGACTGCGGAACAGGTATGCGGACCGCATTCTTGTCGCATACCCGGGCAGTTTGTTCAGGTTTTTGAAGCCATTTTTGCGGTCCCTTTTGTGGGCCGCATGTCCATTATGCGATCGCAGATTTTGTCGGGGCTCCTATTTTCTAACTTTTAAAACCCGACCCCATCATATTAAAAATACCCCATTAGATCCTTTTTATGTTATTTTACTGCAAATAGAGTGAGAGAGGAAGTTCTAGAGAGAGAGAGAGAGAGATCTTCATCAAGTCCCCACCCAATTCTTGCCTAAACCCTTGAAGAATTTCAAGTACAGCTGCTAGGCCTTCACCCCAAGAGGTAAGAACTTGAGCCATAACCCTTGGTTTCGAAATTCACACTAGAATGAGTAATTAGCTTGTGGGTTCATGGGTATAAAAATAGATTTTTTCTCATGCATGCATAGAAGATAATAGGGTATGGGGAGGTTGTGAACTAAAAAGATAGCAATTGGAGTATAAGATTGAAGAAAATCTCTCACAAAAGGGTCCTAAAATCGCAATGCACACTTAGTACTTGATAATATGCTTAAATGAGCTAGAATCTTAATCATGTCTCTAATTCTTGGTTCAATTCCCACAAAATAGATTGAAGTTGCAAGCTCTATTGAGGTATGTATGGCTAAAAATTCCTCTTTTTAGAAATTGAGTTCCGTTGGTATTTGTGTAAATGCGATAAGATTAGAGTTGGATTGATGTATTGATTGTTAATTTCACATGAATAGGTGTTACATTTTTATATATGTGAAAGGTGTGTCTCAATATGATCGATGTGCTATTGTTGATAAATTAAAAAGGTGCGAAGAATATGAATCATGTATTGAAATGCCTAGACCTCAAATCAAGATTAAAACTGCGATTGTTGTGCCATCTATGTGAAGTCTTATCTATGCTTTCAACTTAAATTGCTCTTGTGTGCACCTATTATCCTAAATTGCAAGGCTAACATTGAAATTGGAAATGATGTGAAATGTGGCATAGTGCCAAGAATGATGTGATAATTGTGGCCCCAAGTGACTATGAATTGATATATGTGAAACAAAGATTGAAACGAGATGAATGATGAGAAAGGAACAACGCCTTGGTAAGGCGGCCTAGCCGATCGGGCCGTGATCGGACGCCATGCCGCACACATGGTGGTATTGTGCTGATATTGAATTCCGAAAAAAGGAGAATGAGATTGTGATTGAGGTATATGTCTCAAATGAGACGACCTAGCCGATCGGGTCGTGATCGGACTCCGCTCAACATAGCGGTGGTATTGCGAATAATGATGAACAGTATGAAATGCCCCAAACTAAAAGCAATGAAAAATTATGTGAAAGTTGTATGATTCTTTTATTTGATGATGTGGTGATCATTTAAAGCTTTTGAGTTATATTTGTGATTTTCTTATTCTTGTATGATAGTTCTTTCTAACTAGATGGTGTTTAGTTATACATACTAGTACTAGTCCATGGTACTAACGTCCCTTTTGTCGGGGGCGCTATATTTTTAAATGAATGTAGGTGGCTCTATAGCGGACAGTGCCGATCGCGCGTAGCGAAGTGTCCTCTCAAAGTCTTGGTGAGCCCCTTTTTCCTTCAAGGGGTTATGTTGTACATCTTTTGTTGTGGACTTTCACTTTTGAGGTATAGCCGGGGCCTTGTTGCCGGCGTTGTCATAATTGTCTTTTGTATCCATAGAGGCTCCGTAGATGTTTGTGTGGGTTATGTATGTGTGTTGGATGGGTCAATGAACTGTGTTGTAACTCTATACCCTAGTTCTTCTAAACTGTAACTGTATGAAATCTTGAAAACTTAACCATGGTTTAAAGTTTGTGACATGAAAATGAATTAATAATGTGAATGTTCGATTTTGATATTGTCTAAATAAACGAAAGCATGGTTTCCTTAATCATATAAAGTTGGGTAGAAAGTGTTATTAAGGCTTGCTCAGTTGGGTTCACTCGATTGAGTGTCGGTCACGCCTTCCGAGGTTGGGGCGTGACAGTAGGTGTGACTCCCGTGGATGACAAGATGCGGGAAGCGCGACTTAGATGATTCGGGCACGTGCGGAGGAGAAACCTAGATGCACCGGTTAGGAGCTGTGAGCGGTTGACTTTGGCAGGTACGAGAAGAGGCAGAGGGCGACTTAAGAAGTATTAGGGCGAGGTGATCAGGCAGGATATGGTGCGGCTTCAGATTTCCGAGGACATGGCTCTTGATAGGAACATGTGAAGGTCGAGCATTAGGGTGGTAGGCTAGGGGGTAGTTGAGAGTTCTTCCCTCTTTGTACCGGGTAGTCTGATAGAGTTTTGTTTAGGCTTGTTAGCGGTCTATGTTGTTTTCACATTGTTATTTTGCATAGTTTTGTGTCATTGTCCTTTCAATTAATCGTGTTGTTATTTTCTTTCTGGCATCTTTTGTTGTTACATGCCTTTTCTCTTGTTTCTTTTCTGATGTTATTGTCTCTCCTCTTGAGCCGAGAGTCTCTCGGAAACAGCCTCTTACCCTTTTCGGGGTAGGGCTAAGGTCTGCGTACACTCTACTCTCCCCAGACCCTGCTAGTGGGATTTTACTGGGTATGTTGTTGTTTTTCTATGTCATGAAAAGAAAATACTCATTTTGTTGAAATGAAAGAAAATACTTTTTCTACATCATGAAAAAAATACCTTTTTTGTTAAAGTAAAAAAAAATATTTTTTAATATCATGAAAAGAAAATACTCATTTGTTGAAATGAAAAAAAAAATCTTTCATGAAAAAAAAGTATTATTAGTAATATTTTTATTTAGGGTGGGGTGGGTAAGGTTGAAAAAGAGTTTTGGAAAATGTTTTCCTTTCTTTTGATAGGGAAAATATTTTCCTGCAATCAGAAAAAAATGAGTTGATGAGTAAAATATTTTCTAAAACATTTAAGCCAACCAAATATGAAAAAATTAGAACATGTTTTCCTTAATTTTATCGAATAGCAAAGCTCTTTAGAAGTCTTTTCATCATTGGGTGGGGGAAGTGCACAGTTACCCACTAATAACACATGTATTTACTTTTAAGCCACTGTTTAAAATGTCTTTAGTCTTTAGCCACTACTTTAATAAACTTTAACTACCCGGACGAAAATACCCTTCTGCTCATGTCCTTAACTTTTGAACTTAACTTAAGGACTTCAGGACTACATGTCCTTAACTTTTGAACTTGTAACTCTAAGTTCAGGACTACATGTCCTTAACTTTTGAACTTGGAACTCTAAGTTCATGACTTCAGGACTACATGTCCTTAACTTTTGAACCTAACTTCAGGACTTCAGGACTACATGTCCTTAACTTTTGATCTTGTAACTGTAAGTTCAGGACCAAGTGTCCTTAACTTTTGAGCTTGTTAGTCTAAGTTCAGGACCTATTATCCTTAACTTTTGGGCTTCTTAGCCTAAGTTCAGGACCTATTGTCCTTAACTTTTGAGCTTGTTAGTCTAAGTTCAGGACTTCAGGACCTATTATCCTTAACTTTTGAACTTGTAACTGTAAGTTCAGGACCTATAATCCTTAACTTTTGAGTTTGTTAGTCTAAGTTCAGGACCAAGTGTCCTTAACTTTTGAACTTGGAACTCGAAGTTCAGCACCAAGTGTCCTTAACTTTTGAGTTTGTTAGTCTAAGTTCAGGACCAACTGTCCTTAACTTTTGAACTTGAAACTCTAAGTTCAGCACCAAGTGTCCTTAACTTTTGAACTCGTAATAGGTCCATAGTTGAACAGATAGAGTAGGCACCGAAAGATCCTTATGTTCATGACTAATCTGGTCATTTGTGTTCCTTATTGCTCATGTGTAACCCTTTGCATCAGGCAGGTCCATTGCGGCTTGTGAGGTGCTATACAATGCTGGTTACAACAACATTTTCTGGGTTCAAGGTGGTTTAGAAGCTGCTGAAGAAGAGGATTCAAATTAATCTTACTTATGTCTTTTTTTGCTTTAATATATATTCATCTTTCCAGAATACAAGTTCATATATTTAAATACAATTTGGATCAGGATCTTGAAAGAGAAGGTCCTCAACCATTTAAGTTCGCAGGAATTGGGGGACTTTCAGAATTCCTCGGGTAATTATTTCATGCTTGTGCCTAACACATGAAAGAGATAGAAGAAAGGGTAACACAGTCTTTTCATATTAATTTTAATAGATTAGTGGCTATTATTGCTAAGCATTAAAAATACTGGATAAAAAATAAATATCACTTTAAAAAGTGGCTACTCCACACAATTTTTACTCATTGGGTTGAGGTAGAGAATCCGAAATTGAAGTGCCAATTAGATTATTATGGCAAAGCTCTTGAGAAGTTATGTTCGCTCTCCTTGGCAGTATAAAACGTACTATAGCAAACTTTTGTCATTCTTTTTGCAAGCCTCCAGAAGCAGGTAGGCAGACACTTGTAACAAGTACACTATCTTAGCCAACTAGCGTCCCGATAACACATTTCAGATTACATGAATTTGCTCTTAATTATTACGTAGTGCATTTTGAACACGTCGCACAAAGTAATAATCATCTTAAATAAATTAGAGAAAGTAATAAAAGTTAGTTATATAAACCCTCTCTTCAAGTTTATCCTTCTCGTAAAATCTCCTCATTTTTAATTTTTGAGTAAAGTAACTATTTTTGGTCATCTCGTATCGTGGATGACTTCCCTTTTTTACTGCAATCAAAAAAAAAAAAAAGAACGAGGAGGGACAGGGAAAGAAAAAAGAAAAAAGTTTAAAAGGAAAACAAAAAAGCAAAATGCTGAACCCTAGTAAAAACCCTTGGGAATACGAGGATTGTATCTCCTGCGAGCTGGAGCTATACTGGAGGAAGTTGTCGGGCCAAAATGATCCGGAATTTGACCCGCCAGATTTCCAGCGAAACACCAGTGAAGCTCAGAAGACTATGTACGGCGGCGGCGGCAGAGGCAGAGGCGGTGGAGCAGCGTGGAGGAGACGGGCGGCTCTACCGGAGATTGTCGGCTTTGGGTGCTACAAAAGGGTCGGTAACTGAAACAATAAATGAGTACATGAGAGAAGGCAGAGTAGTGAAGAAGTATGAACTGGAGAAATGCATAAAGGAGCTGCGTAAATATAAAAGATACCAACATGCCCTTGAGGTCTACTCTCTCGAATCTCCTAATTATTACCTCAACCCCCTTTTGAACTTCACCAGGTTTTACTAATGTGTCTTACAGGTTCAGTGTTTACCAAGAATTTTCTTAGTCTGGTCAGAGACTTGTATGTCAGCGTAGCTGTTTTTTTTAATGACTGAAAAATTCGGCAAAACTTGGGGATAATGGGTGGGCCTCTAGCCTTCTCCACTTAAATACCAAGCTTAGTTCGCATGGCGCAGAGCTCAAAGCTGTGATCTAAGTCCACAAGTCCGTCGACCTTTGCAACTTGATAAGCCCTGTAGGCTTGTATTTATAAAGTTCAGTTGATAAGAAGGTCAAAGGATGATTGTATTGAATCTGATAACAAGCCTTAAATACATAAATTACAACAAACTAGAGCTAAAGTAAAGTTTACTATCTGCTACGGAAGCTCCTATATAATAGGAACTAATATCTACTCCTAAAGATGCTCCAAATTATGAGGAGACTTATTCAAACTGTACCAATCTGTAACAAGAGATAAAGAAGATAATATTGTATGACTTAGTCAAGATAATCATAAGATAAGATGGTTAATACACCCCCTCAAGTTAGGCATGGTGCAACAATGTCTAACTTGGAACGACACCTAGCAAAGGCTGGTTTAGGTAGTGGCTTGGTGAAGGTATCAGCAAGTTGATCACAAGCATAAGTATGCTTAACATGAACTTGATGAGCTTGCACTTGGTCTCGGACATGTGCGAAAACTACAGCAACATGTTTCATGCGGGTATGAAATACTTGGTTGTGAGATACATAAGTAACTCCAACATTATCACAGAAGATTGTTGGCGTCTTCGGAATGGTGACATGTAACTCACGGAGTAAGTTTCGCACCCAAGTGAGCTCCGAAAGTGCATTGGCAACTGATTTGTACTCTGCTTCGGTGGATGAGCGAGCCACGGCATGTTGCTTTTTTGATAACCAGCTGACTGGATTAGGACCAAAGAAAACGATATAACCTGATGTAGATATTCTGTCATTCGGGTTGCCTGCCCAATCGGCATCATCATACATATACAGATTAGATTCTGAGCCGCGAAGGATGCGAATACATGAACGTGCTGTTTCTTTGAGATACCGTAGTACTCTTTTAACCGCTTCCAATGTTCATCAGTCGGAGCATGCATAAATTGCGATAATTTATTGACTGCATAAGATATATCAGGCCGAGTGAAGGACAAATACTGCAATTTGCCAAGGGTGCGTCGGTAGCGCGTTGCATCAGTAGGGGGGGAACCATCGACTACCCGAAGCGGTTGACTGGAACACATAGGAGTAGAAACACCTTTACAATTATCCATATCCATTTCGGAAAGAATGTCCAAAATATATTTGGATTGAGAGAGAATGAGACCATCTGGTACTTGCTTAACTTCAACACCCAAGAAATAATTTAAATGGCCAAGATCCTTCCATGCAAATCGATCTGCCAAGGAACTGATAACAGATTTAATCAATAGTGAATGATTTTCAGTGACCAAAATATCATCAACATAGACGAGCACATAAATAGTTGCAGCCAAATGCGTCAATACAAATAAAGAGGTGTCAGATTGACATTTAACAAAGCCCATCTTCTATAAATGTTCACGCAAAGCAGTATACCAAGCTCGGGGGGCTTGTTTTGAGGCCATAAATAACCTTTTTCAGTTTGCAAACATGGTATGGAAATTGGGGATTAACAAAGCCTCGGGGTTGAGACAAAAACTTCTTCATCCAATTTCCCTTGCAGGAAAGCATTATTGACATCAAGCTGATGGATTGGCGGTCTGTGTTGCACGGCTATTGATAGCACTAGCCTTACCGTTATTGGTTTAACAACGGGACTGAATGTCTCATGAAAATCTAAGCCAGGACGCTCCATGAACCCTTTTGCAACTAGACGAGCTTTGTAATGTTCTATGGAACCATCCACTTTCCGTTTGATTCAGTACAACCATTTGCAGTCCACAACATTTGTGGATGGATCTCGCCGTACCAATTCCCAAGTCTGATTTTTCATCAAAGCATCATATTCATCTTTCATTGCTTGTCTCCACTCTTCATATTTGTCAGCTTGTTTGAGTGTTATAGGCGTAGGAGACAAATGGGTCAGAAAAGAGAATGTTCTTTTGCGCTTGAAAATATTGTTCTGGGACCTGGTTATAATGCGAGTTGATTCTGGTGGTATTGCAGGGGAGGGATCAATTGTAGATGGGTTTGTGGTATTTAGACTCTCAGAGGGTGCCGAAGTGGAGGTTGGAGGAGGGGCTTCTCTGGTGGTTGATAATGGTTGTTGGGATGGCATGTTGCTGGCTGTGGTTCTGCGTCTCTGATATGTTAGCAAAGTAGGAGGTTGTTGCTTATTTGTAGCAGTATTTTGTGAAGGAGAAAGTGCGAGGAGTTGCAAAGAAGAAGGAGCAGGGAGTTGTGTATTACCTGAATTCTCTGTAGCTGCTGGTACTTGGCTGTTGCTGTTGGAGTGAATATCTCTATTGGAATTAGTAGAATGTTGAAAGTTGGACTCTAAAAAGACCGGAATAAGCGATGGGATAGAGGGAGGTGGAATTTGAGTTGTATTTGGACTGTCCTCTTTTGAGTTAACCACTTTCCAACATACTTTGGAAGCATTTTTTTGTAAATGTATGAACATTTTTTTAAAAGGGAATTTTTTTTCAAAAAATTGAACATCACGACTTACGAAAATTTTAGACTGTGCCGGGTCAAAGCAGATATGAGCGTGGTGAGTGTGAGAAATACCTAAATACACACAGGGGGTGGATCTAGGTTCAAGTTTATTTTTGGTGTATTGGTCAACAAAAACGCAATAATATAATTTTTATCTAGTGATAAAACAGGTGATGGTTCGCATAAATCACTAAAAACAATCTGAAGAGGCATATTACTGGACAAAGTGAGTCGTATGGCAAACGATGCGCTTTATTAGAAGAACAAGCATTACGAAATTCAAATTTTTCCTTGGTAGCAACAGGTAAAGAAAACTTCTTCAAAAGGAAATTTAAAATTGTAGAATGTGGATGACCCAATCGACAATGCCAGAGGTGAAGTGGGGCTTTAATGGAGACAAGGCTGACTGATGGTGATGCGGGTTGCAGATGCGGCCATTCATAGAGTCCATTTTTATTCCGGCCTTGTACCAACGGCTTCAGAGTATGCAGGTCCTTCAGAACAAAAGTAAAAGGAAAAAATTCAACAGCCGTTAGGTTATCTTGGCAAAACTTAGCAACTGAAATCAGATTCTTTTTAATTGATGGAGCACAAAGAGTGTTAGAAAGCTTGAAAGCAGTTTTAGATGCTTGTATTTGAGTTGAACCAGTATGAGTGATGGGAATGGTTTTACCGTCACCTATGGATATTTCCTCGTTTCCTGTATACTCCTCAAGGTTGTGACGCTCTGCAGTGACATGGTGTGTTGCACCAGAGTCTAGAACCCGGGAGTTTCCAGTTGACTGCATTCCAGAAGCAAAGTTAGCTTTAGCTTCAAAGTGATTGTAAGACTTGGAGCGACAAACATCTGCCGTGTGCCCAAATTTTTGGCAAAATTGGCATTTGACATATTGCTTAGATTGCCTCAAATTTTGCTGATTATTGGAATTCCATTGTCGAGGCTGAGATGATTTCCATGGCTGATTGTTGAAACGACGGTTGTTCCTGTTGAATTGAGGAGGCGTGTTGGTTTTCTGGTCTACAGCTGCTGTAATCATAGAAGATGATTTCTCAAGGTCTTGGTGTTTGAGGAAAAGCTCGTGATCTGTGAGCTTGTGAAATAATTCCTCAAAGCTCAGAGAGGAGTCTCGTGCGAGTATCGCAGCAGATATTTCGCGATACTCAGGGCCAAAGCCACTTAGAATTTTGACAACAAGTTCGTCATCAGTGACATGTGAACCCGCAACTTTGAGAGCATCAGAGAGAGAGCGAACCTCCGGTAATTGCAATGGATTTCAAGGCCTTTTTGGAGTTTTGCAATTGATCTCGCAAGCTAAAGATGCGAGTGTGACTCTTGTTGGCGTAAGCCGTGTGAAGAAGTTCCCATGCTTTGTTAGCAGATGAAGCTTTGGCAACAGTTGGAGCAATGGTAGGATTGACGGATGCCATCATTGCTTGTTGGATCAATTGATCCTTAGAGAACCAGATTTGATACTTGGGATTTGGTACAGTAAGAGTATTTTGGATAATAGTAGGTGACGGTGCAGTTATGGTTCCGTCAAGATGTCCCATGAGTTGATGACCATTTAATAGCATCACAAGTTGGGCTTTCCAGGTTGAGAAGTTGAGGTTACCTTGTAGTTTAATAGGTAACTGAGCAACATGATTAAATTGTACCACATGAGTGGTAGCAGAGGCAGCAGGATTGCTGCTGGCAGCAGTAGCATCACCAGAGTTGATAACTGAAGCCATGGATGCAAGAAGTTTAAAGGGAATGAATTGGATCTAGCTCGGTGGAGTTTATTGATGCTCTGATACCATATAAAGTTAAGTTGATAGAGGTCAAAGGATGATTGTGTTGAATCTGATAACAAGCCTTAAATACATAAATTACAACAAACTAGAGCTCAAGTAAAGTTAACTATCCACTACAGAAGCTCCTATATAATAGGAACTAATATCTACTCCTAAAGATGCTCCAAATTATGAGGAGACTTATTCAAACTGTGCCAATCAGTAACAAGAGATAAAGAAGATAATATCCTATGGCTTAGTCAAGATAACCATAAGATAAGATGGTTAATAGTATTCAGTATAACTGTGTATGGATAAACGTGAGATTTGGGAAAACTGTTTTAAGAACCCTTTTATTGCATTAAAGGACAAACCTTTTTAGTAATAATGAAATGCGCTGGTAAAATGGAATAGATATATTTATATAGCTGATCCAACTTATGGATATGGTATAAGTCAGTCTTGTGGAGTGTAGGGATTAGTGTGCGATATTGAGAATTCTTTTACAGAACTTTAAAGTGCTTTAATGGTCTAATTATTTGTTATTGGAATCAAATGAATCCAAATAGAGCAGAATGGATGTAGATGATTCATATATAGTCAACTCTAACTAATTCGGGATTGAGGTGTAGATTTTTGATTGATATAGTTTGCGAATTGGAAACATTAGGTTTAGAATGACAATCTTTATGGTATGGGGAAAAGAGAACACTTGGTATGGACAACGGTAAGCTGTTGAAAGAATGCAGGCCAAGCTTCATCTTTTCCAATTTGTAAGCAGAAAGGGATCTCAAACTGTCATTGTTGTGAAGTTCTTGATTGCTTTTATGAAATAAGTGTGTATTGGCTCATTAGTTCTTCATTTTTTTCCCTTTTCGAAGAACAACTACACAGCATGTTTTAGGCTGTACCAGTTTCTGTCTAAGTTGTAAAAATATCAAGCAACAAGCTTATTATAAAAGGCAAATTGTTTATGGGTATTGTAATGAATGCCCTGGATATAGTGGAATGTGTATACAAGATTCTTATAGTGGACCCAAAATAGTGTGCGATAACTGATAAGGCATAGATGGTGGTTGTGTTATAAGAAGCTAGTTAGATCTTTGGAGTTATGCTCTAGAGAGGAGATATTTTACCTGCCACAATTTTGCATTATATTTTTCTATCAACTGTTTGCCAGAAATATGTTTGTGCAGACATTGTTTAGTTATGACCTGCAGGTCGAGTATATCCACATCAGAGTGATTTTGAATATCATGAGCTAATATGCCAATGTATTGATGCAGATAATGGAATGGATGGAGAAAAGAGGTATAAACTTATCGTTTGGTGATTATGGAGTACGCTTGGATCTCATAGCAAAAGTTCAAGGAATAACTGCAGCTGAAAATTACTTTGGCAACCTCTCACCTTCCATGCAGAATCAAAGCACTTATGGAGCACTCTTGAATTGCTACTGTGTTGAAAAATTGACAGACAAGGCATTGTCCCTCTTTGAGAAAATGGATCAATTGAAATTCACATCTAAATCATTGGCATTTAACAATCTTATGTCCTTATATATGAGACTAGGGCAACCAGAAAAGGTACCCCCCGTGGTACAGGAAATGAAGAGCCGAAAGGTTCCACTATGCACATTTACGTATAATATCTTGATGAATAGCTATTCTTGTTTAGGTGATATAGAAGGAGTGGAAAGAGTCTTTGAGGAGATAAAGCAGGAGAACGCAAAGGAGTGCGATTGGACCACATATAGTAACTTGGCTGTTGCCTATGTTAAGGCTGGGCTTCATGACAAAGCCAAGTTAGCTCTAAAGAAGCTTGAGGAAGAGATGGGACCTCGTAATCGTGAGGCATACCACTATTTGATTAGTTTGCATGCTGGAATATCTAATCTAGGTGAGGTTTATCGTATTTGGAATTCTCTGAAATCTCATTTCTCAGTAACAACCAATTCTAGTTATCTTGTTATGCTTCAGTCACTCGGTAAACTTAATGACATAGATGGTTTAAAGAAATGCTATGAGGAATGGGAATCAAGCTGTTCCAGTTACGATATGAGGCTGGCAAATAGTGTAATTGGTGCTTATCTGAGACATGACATGTTACACGATGCGGAGGAAGTCTTTCGTCATGCTTTGAAGAGATCACAAGGTCCTTTCTTCTTGGCTTGGGAAATGTTCATGGCATTCTTTTTGAGGAATCATCAGATCAATCTTGCTATGAAGTGCATGGAAGCAGCTGCCTCTCGAGTAAAGAAGAATGAATGGCAGCCAAAATATGAAATGATTAATAAATTTCTCGAGTATTTTGTAGAAGAGAGAGATGTTGATGGTGCTGAGGAGTTCTTCAAGTATTTGAAGAAGCTGAATTGTCTTAGCAGTGATGTCTATAGTTCATTGCTTCGCACTTACATAGCTGCCAACAGAACAGCAGAGGATATGCAACTGAGAATTAAGGAAGATGGTATTGAAATGAGCTGCGAGCTCGAAGAGTTGCTTAAAAGGGTTTGTCCTGAATAATTAGAAGGATCTACCCATATGGTTTTATTTCTTCTCCATCCTCTGTCTGTAGGTATATCCTCTGTCTGTAGGGATCTTTGAAGAAATATATGAAGGATACCAAGACCTGTTCACAAATAATTGTATACTGGTGATGTATATACTTTTAATCCATTCTATATTTTCTCTCGGTTGCATCTCTACTGACTGATGCATTTCATACCATAGACCTTTTTAATACCAGGGCACATGCTAAATATTCTTCTCTGCCTGTTATCCGAACACAATTTCGGTTTCTCATAATACATTATAATAGAAGGCAAAATACATAGTTTACCCGTAACGTTATAGCGAAATTACACACTTTTCTTTCACGGGAAACCTTTTACACACTCAATTTTTCAAAAGTGTCTAAGACACACTACTTTTGACCAGATAGCACTTACGTATTTACACACAATAAAAGCGCGTGAAGCCCGTATAAAATCCCATTTTTTTTGTCTCCCCTCCCCATAAGAACCTCTCCTCCTCCTTCTTTCTCACCACCACCCTCCTCATTTTCTTCCCCAAATAGGATTTTTGAAAGAACATATCAATTTTAGATCTAAAAATGAGCGGATTTTGTTGGTATATTATTCAAATATTGTGAAAACTATTTATTTGTAATAGATTTAAAAGCTTTAACAATAGTATTTGAAAGTTTAGTGAAAAAACCTAGAATCCACCATTGCTGGGGTATCGAAAAAAGCTTAAAAATTCAATTGGGTCTTATTGATTATTGGGTTATTGAACTCAATTTATTGCTCGATTATTTTCGGCTAGTTGTTTAGATGGTGTGGTTGAATTTTGGTATTGTTGGAAACTTTCTCACAAATAGCCATGATGGTAGCAACAATGGTGCTTAAGATAGAAAATGGAAAGACGAAGAAGATGGGTTAAATTTTAATTTTTAGTATTTCTTTTCCTTTTTAAAGTCAATGACACGTGTCACGACCCTATTAGGGCGTGACTTTCACGTTATCTGAAAAATTGGTCAAGCACAAAGGTGATGCGTCTTAGACACACTTTTGAAAGTTTGAGTGTATAAAAGTTTCACGTGAAAGAGGTGTGTAATAGGGATTTCGCTGCAAGGTTGATGGGTAACTCTGTATTTTGCCATAATAGAAAGATCCCAACATTTGATATAATTATGGATTACTATGAAAAATAAATAAACTGCATAATTAGAAAATTTGAACCACCAATTAAAAGGTTTTATCCTTCTTTTCCTGCAACACATTTGCCTAATCTAAGAAACCGTTATAAAAGGGCAGCTTTACAATTATTAATTTGAGTACTTTTGGTGACAGTGTTAACAGCGCTGCTTCCACATTAATACAGAACTCTGATATGTTTAGAAGAAGCAGTTGGTATAGCAATAAATTTAAGACGAAACTTAAATAATGGGGAAAGGTTTTGGGAAAACAGAAAGAAATAACAGGGAAAGGTATTGGAAAAAACGGAAAGGCAAGAAAACTATATCATTGCAATTTTCAGGTTTAGGTTATATAACTTGCTATGGTATCAAGTCCACCTTGAAATGCCATGTGATATTTCACGCGATCAATATCGGAGACAGAAATTTTATTAAGAGAATTCAACTTTTATAAAAAAACTTTATCAAATTTGTGTTTCGAGTCAAGGGCATTCAACCTTATCATGTATTTTATTATTTTTGGCTTATAATATACATGTAAATTAAGTAAACTATTTAAGCAAGGGGTATCGTAAATATATCCTATTAATTCAACTTCATTCAAGGGATTTTAAACAAGACACGTTAGTGTAGGACTAATAACAACATAGAGCATAGGTGGAGCCAGGAGTGAAGCTTATGCGTATGAAATTTTAATCTTTTTAAGTTTTGGGGTTCTAAAGTAATAATTTATATATATAAAATAAAAAACTTAAGATAAATATAGGGTTTAAACTAAAGCTACTTGCAAATAGTTTAAGATTATTTTAATTTATGACACATAATTGGTAGACAGATAACTAATTTTGGTGAAAAGGCATTTCTCCCTTCACTATCGTGGATGACTTTCCTTTTTCTTTTTTATTGCAATCAAAAAATAGAAAGAAGGGACGAGGAAAAAGGAAAAAGAAAGAAAGAAAATGATAAACCCTAGTAAAAACCCTTGCGGGGTTGGGGTTTCTATCTTTTGCGGGCTGGAAGAGTGGAAGTTATCGGGCCAAAATGATCCGGAATTTGACCCGCCAGATTTCAAAGGAAACACCAGTCAACGTCAGAAGACTATGTACCACGGCGGCAGCGGCGGTGAAGGAGGAGCAGTGTGAAGGAGACCGGCGGCTCTACCTGAGATTGTGGGCTTTGGAAGCTACAAATGGGTCGGTTAGTGAAACAATAAATGAGTACATTGGAAAAGGCAGAGTTTTGAAGAAGTATGAACTGAACAAATGCATAAAGGAGCTGCGTAAACATAGACGATATCAACATGCCCTTGAGGTTTAGCCTCTTGATTATTAGTACCTCTAACCCTGTTTGAATTGCAAAAAGTTTTAGTAATTTGTTATATTTATTATCAAAACACTTTATAGCTTATTTATAAAATCAACTTCATCCCCTAAAAGTGTTTTCAACACTTGATGCTTATGAGCACCTGATGCTTATCAACTAATTTTAATCACCTAATCCAGAAGGGCTCTAGGTTTGGTGTTTACCAAGATTTTTTTTAGTCTAGTTACAAACTTGTATATCAGATACATGAAAACTATTTTAGAGAATCCTTAAATTGCGTTAAAGGATAAATTATGAATGAGCTCATAAAATGGAATGAATATACTTATATAGCTGATCCAACTAATTTATACTGTATTTGCCAAACTTGTGGAATGTAGGGATAAGTGCGAGATTTTGAGAATTCTTTTACAAAACCTTAAAGTGCTCTGAAGGACAGATTATTTAGTATTAGAAATCAAGGGATTCCACATAGAGTAAAATGGTTGTAGATGATTCATATATCCAACAAAAACAACATACCTAGTATAATTCCACAGGGGATGATTCATATATCCGACTCTATCTAATTCGGGATTGAGGTGTAGATGCTTGATTGTTATAGTCTCGGAATTGGAACATTAAGTTTAGGATGACAATCTTTATGGCATGGAAAGAGAGAATACTTGGTATGGACAATGGTAAGCTACTGAAAGAATGCAGGCCAATCTTTCAGCTTTTCCAATCCGTAAGCGCAAAGGGTTTTCAAACTGTTGTTGTGAATTCCTTGATTGATTTTATAAAATAAGAGTTTATTGGCACATTATTTCCTCCATTTCATTTCATTTCTGAAGAATAACTGCACAGGGCATGCTTTCAGGCTTAACCAATTTCTGTCTAAGATGTAAAAATATCAAGAAGCAACAAGCTTGTCTTAAGAGACAAATTGATAGCGTGTAATGGAATGAATGCCCTGAATATAGTGGGATGTGTATATAAGATTCTCATAGTCGAATAATTTGCAATAACTGATAAGGCATAAGTGATTGTTATATTATAACTCCAGTGAGGACAAATGGAGTTGGACGTTGGAAAAGTATCACTGAATGAATTCTGCAGCAATGTCACTTTGGGGTGGGAAATGGTATTCATATAAGCTTTTGGAAGGACACATGGTTAAGAGGAACATCACTGAGAGAAGAATTCCCAAGTTTGCATCTTATAGCATCACATCCAGACTCAAGCATTGCAGAAAAATAGATCAGGCAACACATAGGACTTGAGTTTCGGGAGAAACATGCAAGAGGGATTGCATTAAATGGAGCCTACTTAACACAAGATAACCTCATCAGAAGAAATTTCCAGCGTGCTAACAGATGTTACATGTGTCGGTAAAGCTCAGAAAGTCACCCACCTCTCCACTGTACATTTGCTGCTGGCCTATGGAATATATTCTACTGCTTTTTTGGACTCAGTTGGGTAATGCTTTTCAGTCTTAAGGAGGCTTTTGAAAGCTGGAGTCTATGGAGAGTTGATAAAACCTTCAAAGATATCTGGAAGAGGATCCCAGCATGTATCTTTTGGTGCTTATGGACAGAGAGGAACGGAAGATGTTTTCATGGAATCTCAACTCCTAGTTACTTCTTGAAGGCTAGATGTCTGGCAAATATCTTTAGTTGGTCTAACTGACCCCTGTAAATAGCATTGATCAATATTTGGATTTTGTTAGCTCCCTAAACATAAGTTAACTGTACTGGAGCTAATCAAATCTCTTTTGTAACCTGAAAGCTCTATCCTTGTACTCTTTTACATCTTCTTGATTCCATTTAATGAATCTACTTACTTCATCCAAAAAAAAAAAAAAAAAAAAGAAGAAGAAGAAGAAGAAGCTCTAGTTAGAAGTTTGGAGTTATGCTCCAGAGAGGAGATAGATTTCCTGTCACAAATGCATTATATGTTTCTATCAACTGCTTGCGAGAAATATGTTTGTGCAGACATTGTTAAGTTATGCCTTCCAGTTGGAGTATATCCACATCAAAGTGATTTTGAATATTCCATGTATTGATGCAGATAATGGACTGGATGGAGAGAAGAGGTATAAAATTGTCGTTTGGTGATTATGGAGTACGGTTAGATCTCATAGCAAAAGTTCAAGGAATAACTGCAGCTGAAAATTACTTTGGCAGCCTCTCACCTTCGATGCAGATTCAAAGCACTTATGGAGCACTCTTGCATTGCTACTGTGTTGAAAAAATGACAGACAAGGCGTTGTCCCTCTTTGAGAAAATGGATCAATTGAACTTAGCATCTAATTCATGGCAATTCAACAATCTTATGTCCTTATATATGAGACTAGGGCAACCAGAAAAAGTACCCCCCTTGGTACAGGAAATGAAGAGTAGAAAGGTTCCACTATGTACATTTTCGTATAGTATCTTGATGAATAGCTATTCTTGTGTAGATGATATAGAAGGAGTGGAAAGAGTCTTTGAGGAGATAAAGCAGGAGAATGTAGAGGAGTGCGATTGGACCATTTATAGTAACTTGGCTGTTGCTTATGTTAAGGCTGGGCTTCATGACAAAGCTGAGTTAGCTCTAAAGAAGCTTGAGGAAGAGATGGGACCTCGTAATCGTGAGGCATACCACTATTTGATTAGTTTGTATGCCGGAATATCTAATCTTGTTGAGGTTTATCGTATTTGGAATTCTCTAAAGTCCGGTTTCTTGGAAATAACCAATTCTAGTTATCTTGTCATGTTTCAGTCCCTCGGTAAGCTTAATGACATGGATGGTTTAAAGAAATGCTATGAGGAATGGGAAACGAGCTGCCCTAGTTACACTATGAGGCTGCCAAATAATGTCATTAGTGCTTATCTGAGAAATGACATGCTACATGATGCGGAGGAAGTCTTTCTTCGTGGTTTGAAACGATCACAAGGACCTTTCTTCTTGGCTTGGGAAATGTTCATAGCATTCTTTTTGAGGCATCGTCGAATTGATCTTGCTATGGAGTGCCTGGAAGCAGTTGTATTCCTTGTAAAGGAGAATGAATGGCAACCAAAATGTGAAACAATAAATAAATTTCTCGAGTATTTTATAGAAGAGAGAGATGTTGGTGGTGCTGAGGAGTTCTACAAGTATTTGAAAAAGCTGAATTGTCTTAGTAGTGATGTCTATGGTTCATTGCTTCGCACTTACATAGCTGCCAACAGAACAGCAGAGGATATGCTACTGAGAATTAAGGAAGATGGTATTGAAATGAGCTGCGAGCTCGAAGAGTTGCTTAAAAGGGTTTGTCCCGAATAATTAGAAGGATCTACCCATATGGTTTTATTTCTTCTCCATCCTCTTTTTGTATAGGTACGTGCCTCTATATCTTTAAAGAAGTACATGAAGGATTCCAAGATCTTCCTCAAACATACTCTGGTAATCCTTTCATTTCTCGTTTTTTCAGATCTACACAGACTTAAATACTCTCCATGCACCTGTCTTAGCAGCCTCTGTGAACTTGACATGTTAAATGACGTGTTATTAAAAGCCATCGATTTGTCGCTTAAAGCAAAGGAATCTGAAGGAAGCGGTTATCGCTTCATGGGTGAGGCCATGCGCTTCAAGTAATGAGGCGCAAAATAATCCAAAGAAAAGCAGCGATTCTTTCAAGCTCAACTTTGAGGAGTTGGACCAATACTGACATTACTGTATATTGGATGTTGAAATTAGTTATTTTAATAGCAGCTTGATTGTTATAGTACTAAAGTCTAAAATCATGGATATTTGGCATTTTTTAATTTTTTTTTTTTAAAATCGTGCGCCTCATTTCAGAGAAGGCTTCACTTCTTGCTTTTTCTTCAAGTTCCATAGATTTCATTGTTTTGCGCTTTTCGCTTTTTGGAACACTGTTTAGACATTGTCTTAGCAAGGTTTGTGTAATTTCATGTCTTTATTGAGAGAAAATTTGCTCTTATGTTTCAACCCTTTAATTCTCCGCCTTTCTTTCAAATTTCATGCATTGCCATTTAAATATAATGATTTTCAGTTTCTGGATTCATGCTATGGCATTGTAATATAATTCTGCTCTTCTAGTTCATGCGTTGCCAGCTTTCTTCGTACAGCTTGGTGGCATTTGGCATTTCACATTAGTTTAAGTTCCATCAGCAAAGGATACACACACACGCACACACGAGTCCTAGTGAAAAATTTACCGATTTTTATGCACAACTTGGTCCTTGCAGAGGAAGATGCAAAAATGTAGCTGCACTGTTTTAACTTTATAAAAACATATACTCCATTTACACAATTAGATCATTATAATATACTAGGAATTATTAAATTACAGCTAAAATTTTGTTAACAGTGATGTATATATCTTATGCATTTTATATTACTTTTTTGGGGTTGTATTTCTACTTACAATTCATATCGTAGACCTTTTTAATATCAGTGCACAGGCTAAATATTTTTCTCTGCCTATTACGCGAACACAATTGCGATTTATCTATCATTTTTTCTTTTTAATCTAGAAAAGCTGTATTTGTGTTTCTTTTAAAAGTAGTTTACCCTTTCTTCCTTTATGCTTCTCTAATTTATTGCATGTCTTGAGAAGGAGAATTAGATTATCATAACATATGTAATAATGGAAAGATCCCAAAATTGATAAAATAATGGATAGTTACTTGATTTATATGAGCCTCTCCCAGCAAGAAATTACAAGCACCACAGAGTTCTCAAACGAGCCTTTCAAGTTACTCCTTTTAGTTGCATGATATTTACACTACTGTGTCTTGAGATCTAAAGTCACATAGTCACATAGCAACCATAGTTTTGACGCCATTCCAACACAAAAGAGAAAACTGTCAAATACCAAAAGGGAGAGAGGGTCGTAATTTTTTATTTTTTTTCAAAAAAAAAAAAAAGAAGAAGAAAGAATAGAGTTAAGAATGAGCTTCATAGCTGATCCACGTTACTTCAAAAGCAAAAAGGTTATCCGATCATGAACTCCAACTATAAGTGTAAATTGCAAAAGACATCTTAGGGAAAGAAGCAAACGTGTTACCTAGTTCCAGGAAGAACAAAAGTTGCAAATTGGTTTTTGCCATCTGCAGGAACTTGGCCCTGTTCTAAAGATTGTCCATTTGTGTAAAAGCAATGTTCTTGGTTCTTGAAACTCTATGCCCAACAAAGATGGATATACCAAAAGCTACTACTGAAAAGAGAAGAGAGAATGCTGTAGCAGTGTCCCAAGGACTTCTTTTTGGCACATCAGTGAGCTCAGAACCATCTGGCAAGATATTCAACGGTATCCAATGGCAGCTAATTGAAAAGTGACCCGATCCGTGCCATGGTTTTCCATCAACGGGGTACCAAAATGCCACAGACATCTTGCTTGCTCTTCCAATTGTGAATTGAGCGTCCTGTAAAAAATCCACGCCCAACCACAATCAATCAACTTTGCGTCAGTAGAAATTAAAGAGCTGGTTAGGCAGACAGTTGTAATGTAAATAACAAATGCATTAAGCAGAAAGAATTCTGTATAAAAATGCAAGGAAATGTGTTCTACTCCAAAATCTACTGCCGGGGTGCTTTTCAATTGGAACAGCATCTCCATCAATCACTAATGTCAGGTTAGCACTTCATTACCTGTTGAAGGCGATCCATTGTTCTGAGTGGCCTGGAAAATTCAAAATAATATGCACCGGATTGATTGCTGGATGAATATGGGCTGTCATCCTTAACAAAACCTGCTTCAACTTTAAGAGTTAGTGTTGAAATAAAGGTGGTAAAAGGCAAGGAGCTGTAAGGCACAGTAACTAACAAACAACAACCAAAATTTTGTTACACAGGTTTCCTAACATAATTCGCTTGATAAGTCAACAGCCTTCATAATGAGAAGCCACAGTGGAGCAATACAGATACATACAACGCAAACAAGGGCACTGCCTGAGACACAATATTATTTTTCCTCTCATTCCTATTTTTGGTAAGTAAGAGATTTTACTGGAAAACAGCCGCAAGATGGTGCTGGTATATGTACAAAGCTAGGATACAAAAACTCACTCCGATCGCTGAATCTATAGGTAACTGAGGAAGTCATGTAAAGGATACACTCTGTGCTCCTCACTCTAAATACAGCCTTCCAAACCATCGCCACCGTATGACAATCTTGTATGCTTGGACATCATTACACTTATAACATTTAAATATCTCTTATTCCCTGCATTATTGTGTTTATCAAGTTAAAAGAGCATTCTATCTCAGCGGAATCTAAACTGTTCTTCTGTGGTATGGCATAGAGATCTCTACTGATTACAGCAAAAAAATATTCCTAGTCTTTAGCTATGCTATCTTAGAATGCAGGAAAGGTGTACAGAGTCTCTATCTTATCCTTGGATTAGCATGGATGAGGAAAAGAACTTCACTAATATTTTCATAACTTAACTGGTAAATTGCTATTTCGACAAAACCGCATGTGGTTGGAGAACAAAAAGACACTAATGGACATATAGCTCCTGGGAATGTTTGATCATGTTAGACATAGACTTCCAACAAAAAAAAATATCACTTTTGTTCTCAATTTATCATCTTCTGCAATTAGTCCCAAAAATATATTTGTCTCGGCATTTTTTCTAGTAAGGTCTATGTGGATAGAAGTAAATGTTGAGATGAATTTACTACTGTGTTCAAAGTTAGTTCCCTTGGATTCCTCCGGAGTACTAACGATCAATTAATCAATAAACTATCACTCCATCCAAAATTAGTTGGGATTGACTATATGAATCATCTGTATTCATTCTTCTCTTAAGCAAAATTTTCGCCTCAAATCTAGTGCCTAGGTGTTCTCAACCTATATATATGGAAGTGAAGTATAAAAAAAGTAACAACTCAGATATTTCATTCGTAAAAAGAAATACATTTCAAATGGTGCATAACAAGGACATCAAAGCTTGAGTAGTGAAGTGCTATTACTCCATGAGCATTCCATCTTAACTGGTACCGTTTCAAAGTCCAATGAGGTGTCTGTGGAAGTTCAGTTGAGAATCTGGAAAGAAAGAAGTTTGTGCAACACAGGAAGAAGAGGATGACGTTACAGGGTCAATGTGTTAGATCAATGACGTCAAAACAGCCAATTAAGTTGCAGTAGTGCAGAAAGTCGGGGAAGCTGGCTTATCATTTTTAAGACAGTTATCTGAATCGAAGTGAGTTGTATTTCCCTGTTCACTCAGAACAATCCGCTTATAAAGATTTGTTCTATTCTATGATCCCTTTTGTAACTTCCTACAAGTATGGTATCACGACTGTTCAATTCCTGTATGCATGTACTGAAACTTCTAGTTCATAAAAATTTCAAAAAGCTTCCTAATATATTTATGCCTCATGCTATAGGAGAAGAAAGCAGCTTTATTTCTTTCTAATTTGCAAAAGAACAAGTAAAATGTACAGAACTGACAAAATTTTCAGGGATTAGAAACCATATGTTTATTTACCTGAGTGATGAGTCAAGCTACTGTGCCACCAAGTTCCTTTCCAATCATTCTGTGCACTAGAATCATTCGCTGTTATACAAGGAGAAATCAATAGGCAGACCACAGAGAAAAAGAGGAGCAAAAAAGCTGTTGAAACATATGCAATAGAATTATGCAGTCTGGATACTAGAAATTAAAATGGCTTTCCTAACAACACTTTCAGCTTGAGATCAGCTAATTGCCAAATACCTACCAAGAAAATAAAGAAGAATGACATGTCCTGCATTTAGAAAGCAGATAGGCCGCAGTTTCCACCAGATTTTATTTATTTATCTTAATAAGTAAATAATAGCTGCTACAATATTTTGGCGGTCAAAGAGAGAAACCAGTGACCATATAAGTGATCAATGTGTGAGAGTGAAAACCCACCATGTTTCACTTGAGATGTATTCACCCCTATGATATATCTTGCTTCGCATTAGAATTCAACCATCAAGGATCAGTGATGGTCTTTTTTCTGTATATCCTTCATGACGAAATTGCACTACCGTACAGCAGAGAATTATCTTACATCCCAGTCAATTTTACTCGGACAAATTTTCCAGGTTGTTGAAAACAATGTTACAACCATATTTATTTTGCAATTTATTTCCTCATGAAAAGTAGACTCGTTGATACTCAGTGAAGGAAGGACCAACACATTTTTGTACACTGTTAAGCAATAGTTCCCTTTAAGTGTGGGGGTGGGGTGGGAGAGTTCAGTGCAGATTTAGTTCAAAAAGGAGAGAAGACACAAAATCAAAAATCACAGAACGACACACAAACACAAACAAAAAAAACTAATGTTGTAAAACAAAAGGCATGTCCTAATCCTAACAATACAAAATCTATACCAAAATTCAGGTCAAAATGTTGCACACCATGATAACAATAACAAATAATATGCATCCGTCTACGACTTCCTCACTACTTGATGAGTCTTTTGCAGTTCTATGTTAATTTCCATGTCCCAATACAATAGAATGCAATGATACCATTCAACTATTATCTATCCTATCCAATTATACAGATGTTGAGAAAAAGCTTGAAGCTTCCTAAACAAATATTTCCAAATTACCTGAAGGACCGATTCCATCTAAATAACGGCAGTGTGGGTTCCAACCATATAGATCGACCAAATGACCAAACCTGTCCTAGTGTGCCAAAAGGTATGAATTAGTACTTCTTGACTAATTTAATGGCACAAAATTTACTGTAAAATGCTACAAAAAGTGCAGAACAACTTGGTTCACCTGTCACCTCCATTTCCCTCACTATTGTCTACCGGGTTGCCTCCATATAGTCTTCCAGGAATTGCCTTTCCTATTGAGAAATGCATAAGGTCAACTTCGTGGCCCTTGCATGTCTTGTTCGTGCAAGTATCACGTCCCTCTTCACACCCTCCCATCTTGGAGTTATAAAGTACAAGAACTTCTCAGACGTTATTTTAATATGTTGTTCACAATATTTAACAGGAAGAGGGAAATATAAAAGGAAAAAAAATGAAAGAGAAAGGGAACAGATACTGAAGCCACTTACTCTATGATAAGATGCATTTTCACCAATCTGGAACATAATAGCGACAGAGGCAGCCTTGTCATTGTATCTGAAGTGAGCAACAAAAATGAGAGAATTAAAGTCTCAAACAAGAAAAAAAGATGTCAGACATTGTTTGAGGACCAACAATAAAATTTTTGCATTCCTACAGTCAGATGAACTGCAGAGATGATGGTGACAAGTGGGAAGAGAGTGGAATCCCATAAATGATCAAGCTGCTAATGGGTTAAATCAGCACAAGCATATTAGGTAACTGGATGAAAAGGAAATACAGCCTCTTGCACAAGTTACTTGTTACTCTTGCGGTCTGACCAAATTTAATTGATCTTACTACATACTTAATTGAAGAGTCTCCACCTTTAAACTAATCAATCAATCAACCTATTATCCATGCCTCAATTCCAAACTCCACTAATATGAGCTTCAAATTACTCTTTCCATGTCCGAATAAAGGAGGACGTTGCGAGTTAATGGAAAACTTAAAATAAGTCATGAAATCAAGAATCCACCTCTAAACTAATCCTCCTTTATATCTTTTATAACTAAGATGTGACATTTCTTCGAATACCATCCTCTACCTTTCCTTCCTAATTTAGCAGGAAACACAAATTGTGATAAAGCACGATGGTCTCTTGTTCTAAGACTTGAAAAATCCATACCCTTCAGAATATGTGTAATCCCCTTCGACTTGCAACATGAAGAAAATCTCTTTGCCATCATGTGACGCCTGCAAAAGAACAAGAGAACCCTGTGCTCAGACTCATCTCAGTAAATACAATCATCAATCGATCAATCAACTGTGCCTCAATTCCAAACACGTCAAGTGGCCAAAACGAATCATTTCTAACTATTCCCTTTTATTCCGGGCTCATTTCAACAAAATTATGTAGTTGCCCAAAAAAAAAAAAAAAAAAAAACTTGGTGTTTCTTCCACATTGAGTTATGACACAATTATAGTAATTGGAAACTAACTGCGGTGGTTATATGAATTATATGTAGCCATTCCGCTCTATTCAAGCCAATTTCACTAAAGGATAATTTGACAAGAATCAAAAAATTTCAAAAAAAAAAAAGAAAAGGACAAATGCTTGGTCTTTTCTTCACGATAAAAATTCAATTTGACTATATGAATCATATGTAACATTGAGCTGTATTGAGTCAGTTTCACAATGTACCTTGAGGGTCATTTTGCCACCATAATATGCTTTATCTGAATGTGGGTCTAAAGCAGGTAAAAGTGAAAATGCAGAGCCATCTATTTCTTTCCAATCATCAACCTGCCCATCTAGGGTAATTCTCCCTGGCTTGAACTCGGCTTCAATATGGATGTCCGCCTTCGAATCACAGCTCCATTCACCTGATTCCTGGTGCGAGTTTAGACTTCCAGTTTGAGCCAAGATCAGGATCGTCACTAGTACCAAAACTCTTCCTACCATCTTTCAACTACAGATGTTACTGTATCTACACTACTAATTAATTGTTCATTACACAATTTATTATTCGAAACCTAAATTAAAGTCAATGAGGAAAAAAAACAAAAACTTATTAATGTTTACATTAAATCAATTAATATATGAATTTTAAATTAAATTATTTGATTTAAAATAAACATTGTGTGCACCAAAAAAGTTGATAGTCTCGTGGATTGACTTTAACTATACAAGTATGAAAGTGTAATGGAAATATTTTAAGGTTAAATTTAGAAATAGATAAAATAATTCTCGGTTATCTTAATAAATATGAACCTTTACATATTAGCTTGAAGAAGAAGAAGAAAACGGCAAAAAAAATGTGAGTCAATTAGGTCTGAAGGGAAAAAAAAAATAATGCAGATGTTGAAATCATCCTGCGATTAAGTTTGAGATGTGTATATTCCATAGTTGAGATAAAATCACGATATAATTAATTATGAGATTGTAATATTACTTTTATCCCCTAAGATGATGGAATAACTAATCCCGAGATAATTAATCTTGGGATAACTTGTTTCCCAAACAAATGACAAGTCGTTATTTTTGGTGCTGTGAATGGGACAATCTGGATCACAAAACCACATTTTAATGTAAGGTCTTCCGTCATAACTCTTAAAACTATTTTTCTATCTTTGATAACCATTTTCTTCAATTAAGAGAGAGAGAGAGAGAGAAAACGATGAATTTGGCAATTGGTAAATTATTTCATCGATATTGAAAGGTGGTTGCACTTATATTCCCTGTTTTTATATTCCTTCCCCTTGCTATTTTGTATTGTTGTTATAGAAAAACTTAGATCAAGCAGAGCATGAGAAGTTTATACTCTCTTAGGAATTGTGTTTGATTTTCAGAAGACGTCTTGGTCTAATTTCCCTTACCCAAAGTATACTTTTCCAAAAATATTAGTATATATGGTTTTTTTGTTTATATTTAAACAAAAATTGAAAGCTTTTATAAAGTAATAGTTCATTTTTATACATGTAGAAAAATAATGTGAGCGTAAAATTAAAAAGATTATATAGTGCAGGAAGATAAATTGAAGTTCAAAAGTTCAAATTATCAATTTAACCCGCCCTAAAGAAAACCTCCTCTAATAACACTATTTTAGGACTCTAGGTATTTGTTTTAACTAAAGCAGTAAAAATGAATCTCCTAACCAAAATATAATTAGGTAATAGAAAAGAAAAAAAAAAATCTCAACGGCAGTGGGAGCGTAGAAAAGCTGGCATTTTAGCACGTTTCCTAAATCTAAACCCTAAACATTATGGAATTTGGTTTCCTATTTTTCTTCTATTTTCTATTTACTAAATGTTAGAATCCTAATTCCAAATGGTTTGTACTTTTTTGCTTTCCTAAATGGTATAATCCCAATTCATTTAGGATTTGGAACAGACGAACGTACTTAGCGTATATAGAACCTTACTACTATTATATATAGTCTTCATTCACTTTGTTTATACATCACACTTTAGTAACCAAAAACAGTACATAAAGCATGGCACTGTATGTGCCTAGTACTAATTGGCAAGCTATTCATTTTTCCGGTACTGAACACACACCTCGGTGTTGCCATGTTCAGTCAACAATCAAATAGAGCAATGCATCCATTTATATTATATTAAAAGGAGAATAGTATGCATTGTGGTTAAGCCAAGTGGCAAGCTAAAATAAAGCCACTTGGCAATTTTAGGACAACATTAATAATTAATAATTATAAATAAATACATAATTAATGGAAGTAGTTTAATAAATCTTACGCATAATCCAAATAGATCTTAGACAAATCCAATCTTTATATCTATATTTATAAATTTATATGTATATGTGTATCTATATCTATATTTATATCTATATATTTATCCACTCATAGATTTTCTTCTATATTAGCTAGAAATATGGAGGTAAAAATCTATATTATATTGAAAGGAGAATATAAAAAGACTAAAAATATAGAAAGATGTAAATTGAGATAAGCTATGACTATTTATACTTTGGAGCTATAAATAAAACTAAAATTTACTTAAGATACTAAAGATTTATTGAGTTTAAAAATTAAATAAATTCAAGCAGCAAATTAAGATCTTACATAAAGTATACAAATTATTTATAAGGTAAAAACAATTAAATAAACAGTAAAAAATATTTTGTTAACAAGAATAATAAAGTCATATTAATATTGATGAATCATGCAAACGAATATTTTATACGTAGAGATTATTACAACATTTAGATATAATGTGTTCAAATAATTAAGAAAATATTTTTCTATGATTAATATTTGAATTGAGGGCGGTTAGTTTAAATTTGAAAGCATAACATACTTTTTTAAAAATGCGGTCCAAATTAGAAAATAGAATGACAAAAATTATTTGAATTTGAGATGAGAAAGTTTATAAATTTTTATTTATATTATATTAGAATGAGTGTGGTAGAAATAGATATTAAATTCAAACAAGCTAATAAAAATCCACATGACAATGTAATAATATTTTTTATAGAATAATATAACATTAAAAATAAAGAATAAATAGAGAAAAAATAAAAATTCAAATTTTTTTTTTCATAGACAAAAGGGTAAAACTTATTTAAATTTGAGATGAGAAAGTTTTTTATATTATGTTAAGAAAAGTCATAATATGGATAAGTCCATTAAAAATTAAATAATTTAAAATTTTCAAGCAATATTTTTAAAACAAAATAAATATTTATTTTATGATTAAAAAAATTATAGATTTATCTATATTATNATAGTAGTGATAATGATATTAAATAAAGTTAAAAGTTAATGAAAAGCCATATAAAACGTAATAAAAATATATATTAGATTAAAAAATAGCAAAATTACGTTAAACTATTAAATATTTACTATTAGAAATGAAAGGGAAAGACTATTTCAATTTGAGATTAGAAAGTTCTTAAAACTATGATGAGAATGCTCAAACTATGGAGAATACCACGAAATTGAAGTCTTATTTATGAAAAATAAATAAACAAATAAAAAAATAAATAAAAATTAAAAATACATAATATAGGTACTAATAAAAATTTAGATTTAAATTTGTATCTTAAAACTAAAAAAGAAAAAAATTTACGTAAAGAAATAAAATGACAGTGAAAATATTACTACAACATTAGGATATAATGTGTTCATTTCTATGATTAATATCTGAATTGAGTGCAGTTAGTTTAAGTTTGAAAGCATAGCATAAAATTTTGAAATTGCGGTCCAATTTACAACATAGAGTGATAAGAATTATGAATTTGAGATGAATTTATTTCATAAGTTTTTTATTTATGAAAATATCATGCAAAGAAATTAAACAGTAAAAATATTACTACAATATTTAGATATAATGTGTTCAATCAATTAAGAAAATATTTTTCTATGATTAAAATAAAAATTTAAAAATATAAAATTAATTTCTAAAATAGGTAATTTTACTAATGATAGTTCAAAATTAAATTTGTATCTTAAAGCTAAAAAAGAAAGAAAATTTAACTGCATTTAATACAAAAATAATTATAAGAAAACTCAATATATTTGGAACGTAATAATCAAGTAACTTATGTATTAATATTTTAGACTAATTCAAAGTTACAATTTAAAATAAAATATCATATTATTTTGGTTAAGGTAAAATATTAATATAAAAACTAATTAAAATTTATAACAAGGAAGAGATGTATAAAAAAAATAAAGGTAGTGTTAGGATATTTATACTTTAAATTAATTGAAAGATAAATAAATTAAATAATTAAATTATGTTTAAAAATATTACTGATAAATTTAAATGATTAAAAAATTCTGAATAAGAAGATACAAGCATAATAATATACCAAATTTCAAGAATAAAATATTTATATTTGTTAAAGACTATTAAAAGGATAATAAGCAAGATATTAATTTAATTATTAAGCTAATAAAAAATTATATGATAGTATGATAATATTAAATAATAAATAATACAATAACTACAAGAAAAGAACAAAAATAAAAAAGAATTTACGTAAAAGAGATGTGATGAATAAGACATATTTGACTTTCAGTCAAAAACAAAGTGATAGTGAGAATTTTGTTAAAATAATATGATATAATATGCTCAAACAAGACAGATTACAACATGACATATTTAGTATTTTTTAATATTGACACCGAAATGAAATGCAAGTACTAAAATCAAGGGGTTAGGTTGCTACAAATAAAAAAAAAGTTGTCTACTACGAGATTTGAATAATATTTTCATATCCAGCTTTATAATGAATATCTAATGTTATATAATTTTTATCTGAAAGGTTTATATTTTAAGGTTATTTGCACATGATTCAAACAACCTACATCACAATTTGACATGATTTGTATCCGCGCATCGCACGGGTACTAATACTAGTATATATTAGTTGGGCTTTCCCGCCTTCAGGACATGGGTGACTCTAGGGTAAAGCCACTAAAGCTTTTGCTTTAGACCCCTAAGAGTCAAAAGTCCCCTAAAACTTTTAATTAGTAAGATTTTTATAAGTTAAAAAAACATTAACATTTTGTTTCAATACACTACATTGGTTCTAGTTATCAAATATTTTAGTAAAAATTACACGGGGCGCCCTATTTGGTCGCCTCCATTTAACCTATACCCATTTTTTTTAAAATTTTTTAACTTGTACCCACTTTTTAAACAACTTCAACCCCCTTTCTCCTCCTCCTTCTCCTCCTTCGTTATCTTGTTCTTCTTCTTCTTCTTCTTCTTTCTTCTGCTGCTGTTGGTGCTGCTATGAAACTTCAGTTCATGGGATGATTGCCATAAGTATGTTTATCAGATTATTTGAAAACAAATTATATATAATTACGTAAGTTAGTAGATAATAATTTGTGAATATTTCCACGTAGGGAAGTTTAAGGTCACACTTAGTGATTCTTTTCATGATAATTCTTTTCTTTTCACGTTTATTTGTTTCCAAAATTTTATGATTTAGATACTGTTGGCAATCTGATTATTTTATAGTAGTCTGATTATAACAAAACTAATGAATCCAAGGACAAAAAAACTTCAGCTTATTTAGTGGTGAAGTTTTTACAAATGAACTAAATAACTTCAGCATCTTCTGCTGAAGTTTTTGAACAAATAGAGAACAAAACTTATAGCTAGTATGCTTAAGTTCAGCAATAACAAACAAAAACTTCAGCAAATAGAGAACAAAACTTCAGCTACTATGCTTAAGTTCAGCAATACAAACAAAAACTTCAGCACACTTGGTTCAGCACACTTGCTACTTCAG